ATGGCAAAAATTTTGAGTAACCATACAAGTGTCATTTACTGTTTGTCTTTCTATCTTTTATTTCAATGCTGTACCAAGTCAATTGTTTTTATTTTCGTTTTTTACTTAGTTATTTTTATTTTGATAAACTTATACGAAACCTATAAAGAGATTAAAATAAAATATAATTAAATGAAAAAGAACTTGGTTCTTTGCCCTAAGGATAGTCATTAATCATCATTATACACCGCATGTTTTAAACGTAGCTATCAGTATCACTGCTTGTCTAAAACCCTATGCCTACGAAATCTACAACAAAAAAAACATCATTTATTCCTACGCCTTTTATACTTATCACTACCCCTAATGATTATTTTTTAATAATTAGGTTATCATGAAATATCTCTTACTAATTAATTAATATTATTTTTAATAATTAGGTTATAATGACATACTTTTACTAACATATTTATAATTAATTATTCATAAATTTTATTTACTAAAATATTATTTATTTTATGTATTAAATAGATAATTTATAATACTATTTTTATAAAAGATATGTAAATATTTTTATTCATTTTTTTAAAAAAAGTTCAAACACGACACAACAATAATAAAATAATATTTTTACATAACAAATAAGAACACGACACAATAATAATAAAATAAAAGATATGTAAATAATTTTATTCATTTAAAAAAAAGTTAAAACACGACACAACGTAACAAATAATAATAAAAAAAAGTTCAAATATAAAATAATATTTTGAGAAGTACGAGACCTAAGTTGATTGTATAAATCAAAACGCGACAAATATATAGTTTGCCATGTAGATGTAGACAAACTTTTATGGGCATTCCAATATATTGTGATAGGAGACATTGGATAATTTCTTTTCAAAAACACCGACATATAATGAATACCGTTTACAAGTGTCAACGTAATGAATACCGATTTCTTAATAGAAGTATCTTCATCTCGAGCAAATACGTTGATTCAAAATAATTTAAACATCTCTATATACAAAAAATAAAAACAAATAATTTAATATTTTTAAAATTAAAAAAACATGTATTAACAAAAATTAAATATGTATAATTTTTAAAGTTTGTGTAATCTATTAAAAAACACCAAAAATTAATTATGTACAATTTTTAAAGTTTATGTAATCTATTAAAAAACACCAAAAGTTAATTATGTACAATTTTTAAAGTTTAAGTAACCTATTAAAAAAACACCAAAAATTAATTATGTATGTAATTTTATCATAAAAAAGTCTGACGTTCTTTTGTTAAAATAAATAAACATATATGTAGAAATTAGATAAATATAAATATAAGGGTAAACAATGTCATTTTTTAAAAACAAAGAGGTTATTAATGTAAATGTAAAAAAAGAAAAAGAAAAAAACTGCCAGCATAGTTCGAGAAGCTTGTCTTGAGGATTTGTTTTTCTGACAAAAAAGCAAATTGATTTTACGTGACATTTATTCAAAAGCTGCAATACCACCTAAAAAATAATGATTAAAGTGTTAGGATTATTGAAAATAGGGTAGGAATAACAATACTAAAAAAAACTGAAAAATAAGATATGCATAGGTTAATCTCATTTTAAATTCTAGTATTTTAATTTTTTTAGATTTTATTATCAATCTAAATTTTATCATGACCGGGTATATTATTTGGTATATCTTTTATTCTTTTCAAATATTATCAACCAAAATCTCTTATTATTATTATTATGTCTTATGTTAATTAATAAACATTTTATCTATCTATAAATATTTATATTATATTAAAAATATGTTAACTAAATCTACATAATTATATTTTTTATACAATTAGATTCATATTATTTTTTGACTTCTTGTTATTATGAATATATATTTATAATTTCTACATACTAACAAAATGAATAGATACACAACGTTGAGATTAAGATGTAATTACCTAAAGCATTCTTAATGTTAGATTATTTAATTTCCCTAATAAAAATAATATATGTTTTGTTACGTTCTTAACTTTGAGATGTTGATGATATTTTGCAAATCTTATTTTTTTTCGAGGTTAGTGGGTGAGAGTACAAAAAATTTGATGTTAAGTTTGAAGGGTATACAAAAAAAAAATGTCAGTATACAATAAATTAAGATCTCAGTATTTATGAATAACATTAAAACATTTATGCGTCATTTTACTGATACTT